GGCAGATCACGAGGTCAGGAGATTGAGACCATCTTGGCTAACACGGTGAAACCCTGTTTCTACTAAAAATACAAAAAATTAGCCAGGCATGGTGGGACGCGCCTGTAATCCCAGCTATTCGGGAGGCTGAGGCAGGAGAATTGCTTGAACCAGGGAGGTGGAGATTGCAGTGAGCCAAGATCATGCCACTGTACTCCAGCCTGGGCAACAGAACAAGACTTCGTCTCAAAAAAAAAAAAAACCTAAAGAAAAAAGATCCCTGACTTTCACCTGGATGGGCGTGGCCCTTCTGGGAATGCTAAGGCTGCATTGCCCTAGACACCATGGCCAGGGACTGGGGAGTGGTAAGGGCTGAGGCCCGAATGAGCCCTGGATGGAGGCACAGAGATGGCAAGGACTTGGAAGTTAGAAGGGGTTGGTGGGAATGAAGACTGACCCTAGTCAGTCAGGCGAATGCAGAAACTCCACTGGCGTCAGTCTGGGCCTGGAAAACCCTCTCACCCCAGGTTCGAACCCTGATACACACGCAGCCAGATGCATGCACGTGCACGCGCGTGCACACACACACACACACACACACACGCACACACACAGACATCCCAGTATATCCATTCACACCCAGAACCAAGAACACATACCCAGACCCATCAAAGCAAACATCTTAATCCACACCCCCACTCCTGATTAGATCCACAAACAGAAACTGGCTCCTTTAATGACCAGGCCTGCCCATCTATAAATTGAGACAGAACACCTACCCCAGTGCATTTAAAACCAGCTTGAATCAGGGTTTTAAAGACAATGAAGTTAATTTAAAAGCCCACCTTTTATTGTACTAAAAAATAGTGAGATCAAAAACAATTAAGTTAGTACAACAGCCCTACTGCTTTTTTTAGTCAATGAATGTTTTAAATGAACTGCATTTTTAAGCTCACTGTTAACTCAATAAAATGAAGTTTTTAATTTAACATAATTGTTCTGAATTCACTAAATAGGTGTGTGTCTCTGTGTGTGTGTGTGTGTGTGTGTGTGTGTGTGTTTAATTGACTTGACTTTTTGTTGCTGCTTGAATGTTTCTCTCTGCACTTGGGTGGTCCTGCTTGCTGGTCTGTAAGTGGACACATTTTAATATTTGGGTCTTGTATCTACACATATATTTGTGCGCACACACACACACACACACACACACCATTACAGATATAAATGTGTCTTCAAGAGCCTGAGACCTCCTTCTTCACACTGACACCTATTCTCATGTTTCATGTACGTATATCTATACTGACACACACTGAATATCATTATACTATGCCACAGATGCCTACATGCCCAGAGCTATGTATACCATGATATACATTTGGCACAAAATCAAATCTACTTCCAACCACATCAACATATACTGACAGGCCTCAGACAGGCACGCAGGCATGCCCCAATCCATCCATCCAGATAGAGTCACATCTTTATACAAACCTTCATAGATCCTTCCTCCCTCCTTCCGCTCTCTCTTTTCCTCTCCTTCTCTGTCTGTCTCTCTTTCTCCTCCTCTGTCCCCCTCCCTAAACAGCCACACGCAAGATTTAAATCAATCTTAACAATATTTCTCTGAAGCATTAAGAAATCGATAGGACTGATTGCAAATTTATGTCATAAAGCAGGGGCGATCCATCTCGCGGAAAGAGTCTTAAAATGAAGTGACTTATCTTCAAGTGAATCTTTATTTTTCATTAATCTGTTTCTCAATGTTAAAAAAAAAATCCCCTGAGAAGTCAGCCCAAAATTTATTGACCAGCTGGTTCATTCTGAACTTCTAACTTTCTAATCAATTTTATTTTTCATTATGAGACTTTGGAGAAATAAATCTGATTCTAAATTTTTATCGACCTCTGGGTCAGAGCTTTGTAGACCGACGTCTCAGTATTTTACATATTTATTCATCCCTGCTCCCACCTCCTGGCTAGGATACAGGTCCATAGAGAGGATGCAGCCAAGAGTTTGGGATTGGATGCTGGGCCTCACCCCAATTTCTGAGGAGAGCCCTGGAACCCAGATCTGAATCAGGAGAGGAAGACTGGCTCCAGGTATCCACTAGGTGGGCTGCCACCAGGAGGGATCAACTGCCCAGCCCCCTCACTTTCCTCTCCGTCATGCCTCTGGGAGGAAAGAGCCAGACTGCCGCTATGTGTGTGAGTGTGCTGCATGCACATGGTCTTACGAAAAATATCACTAGGCCCTTCTGAATCTCTCTCATTCTCAAGTCTACCTTTTTAAAGAGCCCGGAAGACGGACCCAAGCATGTGGGCTTTTCCTATCAGGAGGAGAGTCAGACAGTCACCTTGGACAATCGGTCCCTGATGGAGACGGGCAGCCCCCAAGCCCCACTGTTGAGATGGGAAAGCTCCAGGAAGAACACAGACGGCCCTGAGAATGCTCTCTGATCCAGAGCCCTGTGCAGTGGCTGTGGAGGGAAGCCCGGCTGGGGCTGCAGGCTGTGCTGAAGTCTGAGCCCCGTCTCTGCTAGGCAAGCCACCTCACTTCTTATCTCCATGGCCTCCTCTGGTGAAAGGGGATAAAAGTGCCTTCTCTGGCTGCTTCCCAGGAATGAAGAGAGGGTCAGATAAGTTGGTAGAGAGAAAGCACTTGGAGACTGGAGGATGCAGTGAGACAGGAAGCCCCAGGATTGCCGGCCCTTCAGTACCCAAGGAGGGGTTTGGTGGTAGGGCCAGAGCTGCCCAGGGAAGCATTTCTGGGTCCTGCTCAAGGTTGTTCTGTTTTGTTTCCCTGCCCAGCTGTGGAATCTCCCCAAAGATTTTTCCTTAAGTAACAGATGCTTCAGTCACCCCCTATAGTTTACAGGTCTTTGTCCTTAGAAATGGCTGTAGCACATACTGGTCTTTTTTCCCCACAGTTCCTCCACCCTCAGAGATAGGGAGGGCAGTTATTTTCATCTGATGTTAGAGAGGAGGAATTTGGCACAAAATCGAATCTACTTCCAACCTTATTACAACACATGGGGTTTGGAGGATGGGCCAGCATGGCGGAGGAACCATTTCCCCCCCTTGACACTGCAAGTTTTTCATCTCACCCCAGGCAGAACCTCCATCAGAGAACCAGGGAGGAGAGGCAAGTGGGGATTATTGGGCGGGGGTGTGGGGGACCTGCCGTTTGCCTCCCTCTCCGTCCACCCCTCAAATCTTGCTAGGTTTAGTGATAAAACAGGCATGGGCATCATATAAGACCAGAGACTAGCAAGCCTGCTGGGAACTTCTGTCCTGGATTGAGGAGAGAGGAGGTAAGGACACATTCCAGGGGAGATGCCTTAGACACACCTACCTTCCAGGTCACCTGGATGCTCTGTGAGGTCACTGGCTGCAAGGTAACATCCATGGGTGGCCCATCAGGAGCTGAGCAGGGTATCGGGAGAAAAGACATTACAAGTCAAGACTTGGAAGAGGAAGGAGTTCTATGTTCCCACTCCCATCTTCCTGAGCTGGAGGGCTCCTGGGCAGAAGACAAAGCTCAGATGCAGATAGCAGAGAACTTTTGTTTGAGTTCCCCTGAACGTATTATAGGTTTTCAATTTCCCCTTCATTCTCCATAATTTGCTGAAAATGTAGCAAACAATGATAATAACATAATACTGTACATCCAGTAGGATGGCAAAAGTTTTTAAAAGTTGAAGAGTATGAAGTATCTACTTCATACAAGAATGTCTAGTGGCAGGAACTCTTATCCTCTGATTATGGGAGAGAAAATTGGTATGATACTTCAGAAAACATTCTAGGATTTTTTTGTGAAAGATACAAGTATTTGTCTATTTGATGACTCTGTAATTCTACAACTGCTTCTATCCCCCAGAGAAGCTCATGAACTCTTATACTAGCATACAAGAACACTTATAGAAGTATTTTTGTAATAGCTCCAAGCTACAAACAACCTAAATGCCCATCTATAGTAGAATGGAAAAACCCACTGTGGTATAGCCATATAATGGAATACAATACAGCACAGAAAAAGCATAAACTATATAGCTATGCTAATGACATGAATGAAGCTTGCAAAAGTAACATTGATCAAAACAAGCAAGACACAGAAGAATATATGAAGTATGGTGTCATGAATACATTCTACTGGGAAACAGGCAAAACTAAACTATACAGTTTATTGCATATACACATTGTGGTGACAGTACAAAAAAGAAAAGCATGAAAATTAGTATCACAAAAGTCAGGATACTGATTACTTCAAGGCGAGGGGTGGCATTATGACCAGAAAGGGGTACATGGGGGACCTCTGGCATGCTGGCTAATTGATAATAGATGCTGGTTATACTCATTGTTTACCTTATGCTTGCTTATAAAACTGCACATAAATATCATGTGTATTTTTCTGCATTTTTTTTTTGAAACAGAATCTTGCTCTGTTGCTGGGCTGGAGTGCAGTGGTGCAATCTCAGCTCACTGCAAGCAACCTATGCCTCCCAGGTTCAAGCCATTCTCCTGCCTCAGCCTCCCGAGTGGCTGGGACTACAGGCATGCAGCACCACGCCTGGCAAATTTTTGTATTTTTAGTAAAGACAGGGTTTCGTCATGTTGGCCAGGCTGGTTTTGCACTCCTGACCTCAGATGATCCATCCGCCTCAGCCTCCCAAATTGCTGGGTTTATAGGCATAAGCCCCTGTTCCCGGCCTTTTCTGCATTGTTTTATATTACATGATAGCAAAAGAAAATAGCAAGAGAAATCTTGTTTAAACTTTCAGGAAAATTCCATGATGAGGGTCATAGAAAATGATCCAAGCCCTAGTACCCCATCTTTTGCAGATAATAGGTCTTTCCAGATGCTGGGGAGAGGGGAGTGGGGCAGAACCATGGAGAGCTCCCCCAAACCCAGTATCTGGATCCCCACCTGGAAAAGGGTCAAACAGAAGAGCCTTCAAAGACCCAGAGGCGGACACAAATGTCTGTTAGGATGCTTTTCCCCACCCCACCCCCTCTAACTGCAAGCTCATTGCCAAAGAACAGGATTGATGTGGGCCCCTGGTGTCCCTGACCCCTGAGGCCAGGGGCAGGGCAGGGGAGGCTGGGCGAGGCACTCACCAGCCTCCTCAGTGCTGACAGTGAGCTCCTTGCTTGGTTCACTGCGGCCAATCTTGTTGAAGGAGTACATGCGGATGCTGTACACAGATGCTGGGTGCAAGTCCACGATGTTGGCCTGGTTGATGGTGGGGGAGATGTTACGTGTGGACTGCTTGAAGTCCCAGGAATCTGGAGAGAAGACACCTACGTCAAAGCACAGCCAGGCAAACTCCAGGACCCCGTCCCCACCTGAAGCACCAGCAAAGCCCAGTCTTAAGTTGGATGCCCCAAGGGGTCCAGCTCACACAGACTGCAGAGAGAGAGCACAGGCCTGAACAACTTCATGGAGGTGCAAAGGGTCTGCCCCATGCAGCTCCAGCTTGGGAGAAGCCTGACTCTTCTCTGCCACTGGCCAGCTTGTGAGCTCAAACTTCAGGCAGAGGTCAGACGAGATGTTCCCCAAGGTCCCTGCCAAGATCACCACCTGCTTACTCTCCCTGAGGGTCTGACCGGCCAGTGTCCTTCTTCCTGGGTCTCTCCTCACTTCAGTGACCTGGTCTAATGGTGGGACACCCCATCTACCCAGTGGACCCCATGCAAAGCAAGAGGCTAAGTCTCCTCTCCCTTTTTCCTCCTCTTGTGTGTGCTTCTGTATTTCTTTTTCTTGTGCACTTGTGAGGTGATGAACTTGAGTGTTTTTTTCTTTTTGGAGATGGAGTCTTGCTCTTTCACCAGGCTGGAGTGCAGTGACATGATCTTGGTTCACTGCAACTCATCTCTGGGATTCAAGTGATTCCCCTGCCTCAGCCTACTGAGTAGCTGGGACTACAGGTGCACACCACCATGCCTGGCTAAATTTTTTGTATTTTAGTAGAGGCGGGGTTTCACCATGACCAGGATGGTCTCGATCTCCTGACCTCATGATCTGCCTGCCTTGGCCTCCCAAAGTGCTGGGATTGTAGGTGTAAGCCACCGCACCCGGCCAAACTTGAGTGTTATATGTCAGGGTTGAGGGGGACAGACCAAGTACCACAGTCCCCAGCCCAAACACTACCCTCTTTCCTTCACCAGTAAGGGGACAGTTTCTGAGTCATTAGGGTTAGAGATCACCAAAGAGATGATCATGTCCACGATTTATCCAGGGAGACTGGCAGTCCATCTCAGGGCTGGCTGATGTTTAGGAAAATTGTGGGAGGTGGAAAATACCAGATAAATGCCATTCAGGCGTCACTAAACAGCGCCTATGCCCATACTGTGACTAGGAACACCCTGCATCTCCAGAGGAATCCAGTCATCTGTTCAATATATTTTTGCCACGCATCTACTAGGGGACTCCAGAGGAAATGGGAAGGGTTGCAATTGACGATGCCTCAGCCTATAATTCCAGCACTTTGGGAGGTCAAGGTGGGCGGATCACCTGAGGTCTAGAGTTCAAGACCAGCTGGTGAAAACATGGTGAAAACTCTCTACTAAAAATACAAAAATTAGCCAGGCATGGTGGCATGTCTGTAGTCCCAGCTACTTGGGAGACTGAGGCAGGAGAATCGTTTGAACCCCAGAGGCGGAGGTTGTAGTGAGCTTAGATTGCACCACTGCACTGCAATCCAGGCCAGAGAGTAGAACTCCGTCACCAAAAAAAAAAAAAGCCTTAGCTAGAACCTTCCACACCCCGGATTCTTAACCAAATAACTGTTTTGGCACCTTACTTTGAAAAGAAAAAAAGGCAAGGCACAATGAAACAAGCAGATAGCAGGGCTGAAAAACGTTCCCAGGGCAAGTCTGGATGCCACTATTCCAGGTAATTTTCTATGCCTTTAAATCCACAGTACAGTATCATGAAAAAGTCTCCACAGAAAAGATTAACTTATATTCACCATAGTTTAAATCCTAAATTAGGAAAGGAAGCTAGCACATTCTAGAAAGATTAAAAAAATTTTTTTTGGCTAAAACTAATGCTTGATAGGCTGGGCACAGTGGCTCATCCTGTAATCACAGCACTGTGGGAGGCCAAGGTGGGTGGATCATTTGAGGTCGGGAGTTTGAGACTACCCGGGCCAATATGGTGAACCCTGTCTACTAAAAATACAAAAATTAGCCAGGCGTGGTGGTGGGTGCCTGTAGTCACAGCTACTCGGGAGGCTGAGACAGGAGAATTGCTTGAATCCCGGAGGCGGAGATTGCAGTGAGCCAAGATCGCGCCACTGCACTCTAGCCTGGGCAATAGAGCGAGACTCCTTCTCAAAAATGAAAACAAACAAACAAACAAACAAAAAACCCCCCAAAACCCTCATGCCTGATAAATCAGGCGAACTGGTTCACCAGAAGACACTGTCCCAGGCCCCCAATTTCTGGTTAGTTGAGATCTTGACATTTGCAAAACACTACTTGTAGCTGCTCAGGCTTAGCATCTGTGAAGGGCACTGGCCCAGCTTCCCATCTGTAGTTCTGCATTTACTTCTTTGGTCTCATGAGCCAAAGGAACAAAATGGCAGGCTGCTGGTGCTCAAAAACACATGATTTTCTCCTTGTATTTTAAAACACCCCAACCATGGGAGGATCACTTTGTGGCTGGCAGGGTAAGCTGGAATTTCAAATACGCAGGCTCCTACCTACTGTGGGCACTCTTTTGTGGGTTTGGAACAGAACAGGCTAGTAATGTGGAGGCAGGTGCTCCCTCCTCTCTGTGACATCCTAGGAGCCGGCGCCAGCTCGTAAGTCACATCTGATGTGCCCATGTTTATGGGAGAGGGATAGGGAACGCAAGTCAGTGCATTCATTTTTGATGAGTGCAGGCAGAGGGAGGAGACTCGGTCGGCGTGTCCGGAGAAGAGGCACTAATATTTACCAAGCACCTGTGGTGTGCCAGGTGCAGCACTGGGCAATTTAAACTCTCACTGTCATCTCTACAGCAGAGGTGACCTTCACAGCACCAAACCCAATTTCCCATCTGGCTTCTTGGGTGTGTCCAACACTTGGCCTTCTCTTCCTTCTTCAGAAAACACTCTCCCCTTGGCTCCCTAATTAAACACTCTCTGGCCTTTTGCTTATCTCTTGGGTCCGTTTCTCTCTGTCTCCGCGCAGGTGATTCCTCCTCTACTCTACCAGGAATGGCTCGAGTTCTTCAAGGCTCCACCGACGCTTCCTTCTCTCTTGCCATGCACTTTCCCCACCCATGTATTCTATTTTCATCGATGCACTGATACCTCCCAGCCTGGGCCTCTCCTTCCAACTCCAGACCTTATAGCCAACTTTGTGGTTGATGGCTCGTCTTGGATATTTCACAGTACCTCAAACTCAACCTGTCCAAGACAGAACTCTCGACCATACACCCTGTTTACCCAGCAACTTCCTGAGTTCCATCTCTATGGCACGACCATGATCAATTTCTTCACTCTTCCTTCTCTCCCCTCCCTATCAAGTGTGATAGCTTTTATGTTCTGTGTCATTCTTGAATCCCCCTACTTCCCTCCCTCTGCATCCCTACCTCAGGACCCGCCACTGTCATCCCTACTTAAACAAGGGAAATGCCCTCTTCCCTAGCCCTCTGCATGCTCAGCATGCCCTGTTTCTTTCATCAGTTCTCCACGCTGCAGCCATCCTCCACTCTACAAATACAGTTGAGCCCCTCTTACAGGTGAGCATTCTGTCTTGGCCCTGAGAGTGGTCTTCTCAAAACACAAATCTGATACTGCCATTTCCTTGCATAAAATTCTTCAATAGTTCTTCCTTGCCCTCAGGATAAAGGTAAAATTTCACAACCTGACCCAGGCCCTGCAACAAGAATTGCTTGAACCCAGCAGGTGGAGGTTGCAGTAAGCCAAGTTTGCGCAACGTGTTTTTGAGCACCAACAGCTTGCCATTTTGTTCCTTTGGCTTCTGCTCCCCTCCCCAGCCTTATCTTTCTCCATTCTTTTCCTCAGAACTCTTCCAGCATTTAGAGGGCCCCCCACCGCCTCAGTCCACAGTATTTTCTCTCAAGTGTTCACTGTTCAGTGGTACTGCCCAAGTAGATGCCAAACTCCCTGAAGTCAGGATCCCTGTCTGAAACTCTGGTCCTCTCCCCAATTTCACATGTGTTGGGCACTTACAACATGCTGTTGATTTTAAATCAGAGCCACCGTTTTTCCCCTTTACTTGGGACTTGGAGTTCCTCTGCGCTCTGTGGCCACAATGTACTCTCTGCCAATCCCTTTCTTGCCTCACTCAGCTGCAAATCACAGGAAGGTTGGGCTGGGGAGTGTCCCAGAGAACAACTCCTTATCTCCTGCTTTTGCCACCAGTAGTTTGCAGGTGGATTTGACCTTGTGTTCCCAAATCATCTTTGGTGTTAGCACAAAATAGCTCTCTCTCCACAACCTTTCCATGCTAATGGATCAGAGTCAAATCTGGAAGCCTCTAGCTGATTTTCTAAACTTGATCACTGCCATCTCCCTGACCCTGAATAGCTGAGATCAGGGGCCCGATTTTCTTCCTTTTCCTTTGCAGTTCTCAGAGTACTGAGCTGGCTCTCGTGAATATTGTCTCTTTTAATATTCCCTTTCATGTGAGCCTGGCTTACCCAGATTAACATATTTCATTAAGGGCTCTCTCTCCCTTTCTTCATCAAAGGGTTTATGATGCAAAATATTCCTCTTAAAAATAAGGAAGCGGCTGGGGAGATGTCAGTGCCTTCTGCTCTGTGGGCTGCTTGCTGAGAGGGGACTGGGAATCTCTGTTTTTTCACCATAGAGGGGACGCAGCTTGGAGAAAAGCCACATCTGGAGTGTTTAGCTGCCTGGGCTCAGGAAACAAATCCATTCTGCATCTCTCATTTTCTCCTTGGATCACGCCTTTGAGACCCCCATGGCAATCTCTTCCCAGCATGGAGAAGAGCCTCCCTGTGTCACAACAGCTCATGACATCCCAACACCGGTCCCTCTGACAGCCACACTCCAGTTCCCAC